TAGCACAACTTCGCACTCACAATGTGTCACTAACCAGTAATACAGTGTCTCTTCATTTGTTTTCTAGGTTACCTCCGCAAGTCCGTCGCCCCCGCAACGTACAATTTACCCCACGTAGATTGAAGGGTACATTGTACGGAACGGTCCGGTAATTGTACGTGTCTTTGGATATAGTGTGATGTTCCGTTTCCTCTTTGGGCGGTTTTTCGTATCATCGCATCGTAAAACTCGTTCGTAAGTTTCGGCTTTTTATCAAAGGATTTCGTGTCTCTTTCGTCCAAAATTGTCCTACAGAGTCAAGTATACTTCATTGCACATAACAGGCTAAGGGGCAGGACATCTCTAAGTGGTTGACCAATCACAACAGAGCCGGCCAGCTAACCAATCAGAGCAGACTGGGCTCTGGTTTCAGACAGAGGTTGAAAAGAGGTGCTGCAGCACAGGCAGTACGAGAAAAATAAAGAGCTTTTTGAACATTAAAGCATGGAGACATGTCCCAGTAGAGACACTACATACTGATATACACATGAAAATGAACATAATATATCCTCTCTAATATCAAAATGTGTGTATTATGTTGTAATCCTGCTTTAATTATATGTAGTTATTTATTCTTGCAGCAGTATATGTTCATAGCATTTCTTTTTTTGTATAAAGGTAATTTTGGGCCATAGGGCCTTTATTGGAGTTCTGTTGAAAAGGAGACGGATGGAAGGACATTCCATGAGATATTCAGCTGGCTCAAGGTTCGATCCGGCTTACTAGCAGCAGTGTCCATATATGGGATGTGAACTCTAACCACTGATCTATCCGGCGGCCTTCATAGCATTTCTTATCTAGTTCTTATTATTTGCCTGTCTCTTACTTTTCAAGTCATTCTTGATAAAATCCTCCCTAAAGAGGCCTGGGCTAGAGAGTGTTAGAATGTGCCGCAGGATGAAGGGCAGTGAGGTGAGTCAGAGGGGCAGAGAGGCGCTGAATGGGGGGGACTCCCACAGCTCCAGCAGTGAGGAGCAGTGCAGGGAAAGAGTGAACAATAACCCCCCGACTGTCACAGTTTATATTACTCTCTTAAGATCCATGCAGTCAGGGTTTTTTTTGTACGATTACAACTCAAGCCTAAAGTTGTTTTTAAAGTTCATTTCAAATCACAATGTTTATTCAAATCTAATTGTTATCTGATTATCTCATTTGATCTCATTGCTGATACTTTTCACCATTGATGACATTAACATATAATAGAGCTGACTCTTGTGTTCTTGTGCGTACACTTTCCTTGTTGTTCGGAGTTTGATTCTTTATGGTTTTTGCACTCATTGTAAGTTGCTTTGGATAAAAGTGATAAATGATATGTAATGTAATGTAATGTGTGTCACTGTGCCAGGAGCAGTCCACCAGCAGATGGAGCTGCAGGGCTGCAGGACCCTGCAGGGCGGCTCAGATCAGCCCCCCCTCCTCGGCCTGACAGACTGCTCTGATCAACTGCCATTCATCTGCCGGAGCAGCAGAGGTGAGCGGAGACACACCAGAACAGATCAGGATTTGACTTCTAATTTATTATATTAATGTTAGTAATGATGAATATTGACTTAAAGGTAATCACTATATGTGGAGCCTGTATTATGTGATTGATTTGACAAACCCTGCAGCATAAGAGCTGAAACATGTACTTTACTTAACTCAGCATCTTCACCTTATTACAGCAGTAAATACATGTTTTTCCTGCGAACCTTAAAGACAAGGCATGCAAACAGTATGGACTGTACCCATGCAGAACAGTTGAGTCGTTGCGTATCAGAAACAGGATTTCAGAAATACTGACGCCACTACCCAAAATGCAACCTTATTCCCAGAGGGAGTGTTGACCAAACTCAAAAACATTTAATTTGCTCGGTTGTTTAATATTGTATGTATTCCAGTCCGTGTTTCAAAAGAAAAACAATGACACAAAGAATACAATGCATCTTCTGAAAGACTTATTTGCTATCTTAACTGTAAAATGTATTATACTCTAAAGTCTCCTTAACACGTTATCCCCCTCACTTTTTAAATGAAGTATCTTAATCTTCGTCCTCTAGTACACACCTCTTTAGTTATTGCTCAGCACTTAAAGAAACAGGCGTAGTCAGCTGACTTGACGCCTTTTAGGTGACATGTTTGCTTTTTTATAATCCTTCTGCAACACAATGGCAGACGTTTTCAAATCTATCATTATACCAACAGCAATTGTACATGTCAAAATTGCTTTTTGAGTTGCTAGAATTCCAAGAAGTCAACGTATTCATATTTTCCAAATAGTAGCGATTCTAGTTAACATAGTTAATATCTAACAATTATTTCATACTTGTAAACATGTTCATTCTTGATTTGACCAACATATTTTCTGCCAGTTGAAATGTTTATTTTGTATATCTGATGGAAGATTTAATGACAACTATGTAATGCTCAAGTACAGTAATTCAATTTTTTGAAGATGTTGTAGTTCCAAATCATGTCCATAATTATGACTTGAAGCAAAAAAAATGATATCAAATATTCAATTCTCACTAGTGGAAATGGTCATTTGTGATCTCAACAATTCCACTGTTATTATTTGCAGTTTTCATTGTAGAATTCATCCCTCATTACAGATATCATAAAGAAACGTTAAACTGATATGTCAGCTTGAATTTGTCACCAGTTATAATTTAAAAACAGTTATCTAGAATACGATTGTAACTAGCAAACATATGAAGCACTTATATCTCAATAAATCTACAATTCCTTTTATTAGTCAAAATTGAATTTGAAATATCAAAAAAGGAGATTTATTATCTTGTCAAAATTGTACAAATCACCTATGACTTACATATTTGAAATGAATGGGTCATCTGGGCTACATATTGGAAATGCTATTATTGATATCTGAAAACTATCCATTACATTTAGACTGAACCTTTTTTCTTTCTAAGAAGGAATTTCTGATATCTTTTATGACATTTCAGATATTTCTAAAGCAGTTCGGACTTTGACTTTTGACCACATGTACAAATGCAATAGTAACATGTCAAACATTTTTTTAAGTGTTTACCTAACTCAATGGCTAGCATTCAGCCCTTGTAATTAAATGTTAAAAAGTCTGCCCATAACAGCCCATGCACAGGAACACTTGAAGGGAAATAAAGTAAACTCTGAAAATGTTGGATGTAAGATGATGTTTGCGTACGTGATGTGAAGCAATTGATACATACATATCCACTAGATTGACTGATGAGATAATAGTACTGTACAAAGGAAGAGGCGGGGTCAGAGACATGCTCAGTTGGGAGTTTTATGTTTTTTCAGGATGTTCAGAGGCTCAGGGTGGAACTCTTCCAGCTGAAGAGTTCTCTGAACAGCTGAGCATCCTGCCATCATTTCATAACGTTTCGTTGTGTTGGGCACAGAGCGCTTCCTGAAGATGAAGCAGATCATTGACTCTCAGACCTCGCAGCCCACAGCCTTCATGAACCAGCTGATGAAGCTGTCCAACCACAGCCAGGTACACAACGCTACATCTTCATCCACAAAAACTCTCCTCCACTTCTTTAAAGATTTCACTGCTTTAAATGTTCCATCTTCCAAGGATCTTTGCTGTCAAACCATTATTTATCTGTTAACCTCACCTAGCAAAGAGCCATAGATTGTTTTGGCACACATCATTCTGCTTTATTTAAAAGTAAATCTGACAGAGTTGAATGGGTTTTTAGCATTTTATAAGTTTATGTTGATACCAAAATGTTGATTAGAAGCTTAACTTTGGCTTCTATTTAAAATCCATAGGGGGTTTGTTTTGCTTTATGACTAAAAACGACAATGCTTTTGTGATAAAAATACTGATAAATGATTAACTTGAACAACAACAACAACTTGCATATAACAGTTAAAGGTGGGGTATATCATTTATTTCAGATACACTTTTTGTTATATTCCATGGAATGCTCTTAACATCCAGATAGCAATGAATATATGAAATGCTTTGACAATAAATATATAAAAAAATGTAATCTGTGGAAGCCTTAGTACTGTAAAAAGCACGACCAATCATCTGAGCCGGCCCGGCAAAAATAACTGGATGGCCTACCTGCCTGTCAGCCTTCCATCTGTGCACAAATTTATCTTGTGCCCTCATTGGTCATGTGCGCGTTTGTGTGTGTTGGAGGAGGGGCTCTGTAAGGAAGTCTGAAGGAAGAGGCAGATTTTTTCCGGTTGTGTATTTTCAAATTCTAGCGCACTCGAGCTGGTTTCTCCAAAATGACATACCTCACCTTTAATACAAATCCCAAAATGATATGCTGATGACTCCTGATTCCCCCCCCCCAGGCAGTGCTGGGGCAGCAGCCGTCGGGGCGGGGCAGCCTGTCCCAGGTGTCCGCCCTGCTGGAGGTCTCTGTGCAGGCCCTGCAGGACACGCAGCAGGAGGGACTGCAGCCGGCGGACATGGTGTCCCTCATCCAGCTGCTGTCTCTGGCTGCTTACGTCCCCACACAGCCCCCCACCAAGGAGACCTCCGTCCAGGAGCTCAGCCAGCACTTCATCAGCGTGGCGGACAGCATCATCAGCGCAGACAACGCCCTCAAGTGGCAGGCCATCAAAGAGGTAGCACATGAACCCTGCCTTCTTTAGCCCTGACGCGTGAGTTTACAAATCTGTGCAGTTTGCATATTGTATTCACACCGGAGGGGGGAGAAGTACTCAGATCTTGTACTTAAGTAAAAGTAGAAGTACCAGATTGTAGGAATACTCTGTTACAAGTAAAAGTCCTTCAATCAAAACTTTACTCAAGTAAAAGTACAAGTTTTTATTTTTATTTTTATTTATTTGTATTATTCATTCTGCAGATCGGCCCAAATCAGAATAATATAAATCATATGTTTGTGTTTAGTGTTGATTATATTTCACAACATTAATCCAATTGTGCAAACTAACTAAAGGTATTAAATACATGTAGTGGAGTACAATATTTACCTCGGAATTGTACTGAAGCAGAAGTAAAAATAAGCAAAAATATTACCTCAAAATTGTACTTAATACAGTACTTGAGTAAATGTACGTAGTAACTTTACACCAATTCATTAAACATAACATATCATAGATCAATAAACTAAATCAAATTTGAACGATTTCTCTATGAGAAACAGGGAATAACAGTACATATTAAATGTGAAATAGTATATTCTACAGGCATATAACAGAATGTAGATAGATAGATAGATAGATAGATCGGTACTGTAGATAGATGGATAGATAGATAGACAGATAGATAGACAAATAGATAGACAGATATATAGACAGACAGACGGACAGACAGATAGACAGACAGATAGATAGACAGATAGCTCCCTTCCCCCCCGGCCTCTCAGAGCTCCAAGGCCACCTCAGGCAGCCTCAGTGAATGAGCAGCACTCTGAAACACTGTGGCCGTACACATCCACAAACCTCCGCTCGGCTCCCAGCTCTGTCTCCAAGGCTCAGCTCTTGGACGGGCATATTGAATTCAGAAGGAGGGGGTTTCAAAACAGACAATGGCAAATTCCACAATTGCTCCCATCATTATAGGCCAATCCATTGACCTGTGTGTACCCTCTTCAGCCAAACTGTCTGTAGACGCTGGCATTCCACAGAAAAAGATGCTGAAAGCATTTTCTCATTGTGTGGCATTTAAGTAGTCATTTTGAAATGTACCTCTTCAGCTTTTACAAGCAGGGCAGAGTGGGTAAGTTCTGCTGAGGTGCAGCTGCTCCGTGTGTTTCAGGTGGTGAACGGACCCATGGATGTGGTCAACACCATTGACCAGATGGTGACCAGCCTGAGTGCCAGCTTAATGGCAGAGACTGATCACATGACCATTCTCAAACCCAACATCAGTGAGTCACCAACACAAACACACACACACACATGCACGCACACACACACACACACACACACACACACACACACACACACACACACACACACACACACACACACACACACACACACACACACACATACACACACACACTCCCTCTCAAACTCTGTTTGACAGGCCATGGTGCTGGAGACGGCGGCTGACATTCTGGACAGTAAAAGGCTTAAGGTGGAACGTGTGTGTTTGTGTGTGTGTGTGTGTGTGTGTGTGTGTGTGTGTGTGTGTGTGTGTGTGTGTGTGTGTGTGTGTGTGTGTGTGTGCGCGTGCGTGCGTGCGTGTATGAAATCGGGCATAGCACAGCACTTGCATTGTGCAGCTTTGTTCATGATGGAACTTCTAAAACTTAGATTTTTCTCTTTTGGTGTCACATTTTTCTTATCTTGTTATTGTACTTAAGGACTATTTCGAAAATCTGAAGTACATTCCTGAGACTGAAGTATTAAGATCTTAAAACCCAGGATACATATGTTGCCATGGTAACACGTTTCAGCTCAGATTAATAATCTAAATTAGTTTTTATATTTTGATTACTTCAAAGGTCTGCGAAGATTAGAAACAGGTGTTAAATTCAACAGAGTAAAATATCTACATTAAAAAGCATCTTCTTTTAAATATTATTTCCCTTAATGCATGCATTAAATATAATATTTTACTATGAAACCATGTTATCCTTATTTTCAGAGCTGGAGGTGCAGCAGCAGTGGCTGCGGGGGGGGTCCAGAGGGTCCTCAGATTCCAGAGGGTCCAGCTTCTGTGGGCCCGAGACAGAGAGACTCACCAACCTGGACTGTATTTCAGTTCCAAATCAGAAAATACAGGATCTCCATAACAACGGTAGGAAAATTCTGCAAGAACCAATCATCTTCCTCCACTTGAATTTAAAGTAGTCACTTATTCATACTTATCCATCACAGCGTTGAGTATTTGCAAAGAGAGAAAACACATTTCAGTCTTGAAAGTGAACGACAAACTGTGAATGTGTAGCATGCATTCAGCTACTTACACTCCCAAGGTCTTGCTGTGAAGTGTAGATGGAGGCGCAGTGCAGCTTTTTCTGAAACAACCATTCATGGTGAACAATTAGTAATCCTAAATTAACTAAATTTCTCTCAGTAATGTTTTATCTGTCTTTAGCAAGCTGATGAAAGCCGCCTCTTGCTGTTGTGTTCAATGTTCAGGTTTCCATAAGCTCACGTTGGTCAACACGTGGTACGGCTCTCTGCGGCCGCTATTCAATCGTGAGGAGAACATCACCATGGTTCCTACGGTCACTGACGGCAGCCAGAGGTAACACACACTCGAGTGGAGGCGGGAATCAATGCTTTTGGCTTTCTTTACATGTACTTTTCTTACATGTATTACGTTTAAATCCTGATTAAAGCTACACATTTTTTTTGTTAAACAGAATCAGGAACTATGTGTTACATGACTAAACTGACTCTTTTGGAGTTTAGTCCACCTCCTTAGCTATTTGTTTTCTCAGATACAAAGATATTACAATAGCTTGACAATAGCTTCATTCCAATACTGTGCCAGTAAGTCATGCTAATGAGCTAGCATAACATTTATGCTGCAATCATTATTTTATTGACCACACTGTCAAAGAAATTAAAGTAATAACAGGTATGTTATATGTATAAGTCACAGTACTATTTGTTTGATAGGCTTTGAAAACCAAATAAATTGCTTATTTATTAATGCAATTCAAATATTATACTTCTATTTATTTTATAGGGACTAGCTTGCCCTTTGTGTCTTTTGTTATATTGTGTGAATGTGTGCGTGTAACAGGTATTTGGGCACCGTGCTGGGCTCCTCTGTCATATCCACCACAGTGCTGGGAGACGACCAGCCGCTCAGCACAGCCGTTCACTTCCAGCTCCAGCACAGAGTTCAGGTGAGCCAAAACTCTCAAATATCACCCATCACCCATCACTTTTCCTTATACATTATATATATATACTATGTTTATTACAGAATCCCACTGGAACTGTGTATGATCCAGTGTGTGCCTTCTGGGATTTTGATCTCAAGTAAGTACCAATGAACATGATTCGGATTTCTGTGTGTTTAAACGCACCTATGTAAGTATGTTGTGTTTGTGTCTAACTAGTCCTGAAGCCGGTGGGTGGTGGAATACCAAAGGCTGTGATGTCGTGTCCAAACATTATGGATACACCGTGTGCTACTGCAACCACACCACCAACTTTGCATTGCTGTTGCAGGTTTATGAAGCCCAGGTAACACTGCTCCGTCCAATTATCACTGTGTGTGTTATAAATATATACAGCTCATATGTTCTGTGTGTGTGTGTGTGTGTGTGTGTGTGTGTGTGTGTGTGTGTGTGTGTGTGTGTGTGTGTGTGTGTGTGTGTGTTCCAGAGGAGCCCGGAGAATGAAAAAGCTCTGCAGGTGCTGACGTTCATTGGCTGTGGAGTGTCTCTGTGTGGCCTCCTCTTCACCTTCATCCTCTTCATTGCTGTGGGGTGAGTCACTAACACAGAGTGCACTCTGTAAAGCGCAGAGGGTGAAAAGCATTTAATAAAACCCAGATTCACATCAATATGTGTAAGGGAAACAAAACAGCACCACACTGAAACAATCTTGTGTGTGTGTGTGTGTGTGTGTGTGTGTGTGTGTGTGTGTGTGTGTGTGTGTGTGTGTGTGTGTGTGTGTGTGTGCGCGCAGTGTCCCTAAATCAGACCGTACCACCGTCCATAAGAACCTGATAGTGGCTCTGAGCGTGGCTGAGCTGCTGCTGATGTGCAGTGACTGGGCGTCTGCCAATGAGGTGAGACTCCATCTATGATTTTATGACCTATTTTCACAGTAAGCTAAACATTTATGATACTTAACTGACAGTATGGTGAACTCACATACATGAGTGCAGGGTTATATTCACACTAACTGTTGGTTCACTCACTCACTCTCTTTTTCGGCCAAAGATCTCATCTGTTTTCATCAATAATGCTTTGAAACCTGTGGTGGAACTGAACTAGGTATACTGACTAAGTACTTTACTTGCAATAACATCTGGCGTCACTTCTACTTTACGTAATTATTTCCATTTAGTGTCAGTTCAAGACTTTTGATTTGAAACCCACATCTCTTTTTTTCCAATTCAGTCTCAAAACAAAAATTGTTTGAAATCAACCAATGACCTTTATGTGTTTTGGACACTCACTTTCAGGACACAATTAAAGATTTTTGCTTCACTACACTGAAAGACTGAAACTTTGACAATTGACAAACGTTGAAACATTTCATTAAAATCAACATTTCAGTTTTTACAGAGTACTAATGAAGTTCTAACTCAAGAAAAGAGCACCACCCCTTCCCTCTGAGAGATGTGGTTCAGACTCTGTCCCAGCCTCAGGTCTCTGTTTGTGTGATCCTGCAGGCAGCGTGCTTCATGGTCACCGCCCTGCTCCACCTCTTCTTCATGGCCTCCTTCTCCTGGATGCTAGTGGAAGGTCTGCTGCTCTGGAGCAAAGTGGTGTCGGTAAACATCAGTGAAGACCGCAGGATGAAGCTCTACTACATCATTGGCTGGGGTAAATCTCATCGCTCTTCAGTGACTGGTCTAGATGGAGTTTCAATTAGGACCATTAGTTTCCTGTAGACATGGAATGCATACACATATTATGTTGCATCGAAGAATTCAATTTTCAAAGCCATTATCACAATTGAGTTGTGAATTGGTTCAATAAAACAGTACTATATAATACAACTATAATATAATGAAATTACCAATGACTTTTTTAAAGTCCACAGTCTGTGTTAGTATTTCATTTGGTTGTCAGGGTTACTAGGATCGAGTTTGTTTCCATATAGTCATGTGATTCCAAGACCATAGAATACGTTGACCAGGGTGTTTATGATGATCCAATCCGTTTTATTCCTATTATATCAATAGACACATCTCCCCAAATATTTTGGTTTATCCCAAATTGAAAGATTGTTATTATATTGTAAGCAATATGTCCCAGTAATGGACGTTGTCAGTTCATTTCAGGTATTTCAGTTTCTCTGAGAAGATTGAAATTGTGCTGCAAATAAATAAACTGTGCTGCAATGTTTTCCATGACTTTGATCATGTTGATCTAATAATCACATCTCTGTGATGAGAGTAAACAACTAAAACACTTCAAAAACATGAACTGCAGTTTCAATCCAATATTAGTCCAAATGACATTGCACATTTATTTGTATATCCAATAATACAGTATAATATATCACAGACATGACTTGTAACAATCTGTATATGTACCTCACATCACCAGATTTGTACTGCTAAAGCTTTCTGTAAAGTTAGACCACATTTCCCAGAATTCTTATTTCTCTTTTTTCAATGTGCTCCTCTTTGGCTTCACTGAGGGGGATTTCTGGAAGTGATTTTCTTTCTGTTAGCCTCAGTGTAGTATTATCAGTCTGAGGCTGGAGTGAAGCATCTGCAATCCCATCCAATCATCCGTCCCTAGAGGAGTAACCCTCTGTGTTTGAGCCCATGACATTTCTTGCAGTATTTCCAGAAGATTACAAATGGCACTATTCAAATATAACTTGCTGATGCCATAACAACTCCCCAGAAGATGATTCTTATTTTGAAACCATTAAACGCATGCACCCTCCTCAGGACCGAACCTTGTACGATCTGATAATGGACGGGGATCCATGCCGGACGTATCAATGACCTGTCCTCTATTCACACTCTTAGGGCCTCGTAGCTCTTGTGTTGGGGGTGTAATAAAGGTTGCAGCTCACAGGAGTTGCTAATGGAGCTTCAATACTGGTCCAATGCAATGATGAATTCATGGTTAACTTATATCATCACTGCACTTGTGGTGCATGTAGTGAACCTTAACCCAGTTTAAACATTCTGCAGCTGTTACTGGTAATGTTCCCAAATCCATCTGTGATTGGTGATGTTGCTGAGAACATTGTGTGAATAAGTTCACTAACAATATTAAGGTGTTCCTCTCAGCGCTCCACATTCTGCTTTAGACTAAATAGAGAAGAGAAGCTAACAGACTAAACAGTCTGCTCCATAAATATGTATTCAAACATGCTGATTCTTGTGTTGTCACAACACTGCCAGGGTTCTTTTTATTTTATTGAATTGTTTTTCAGGACTACCTGTTCTCATAGTTGGTGTCACACTGGCCGTATCAGTGGATGAGTATAAGGCAGAGGATCACTGCTGGCTCAACGTGAAGACTGACACCATCTGGGCCTTTGTGGGACCGGTTATATTTGTCTTGGCGGTATGTAATCACTGTGTGTGTGTGTGTGTGTGTGTGTGTGTGTGTGTGTGTGTGTGTGTGTGTGTGTGTGTGTGTGTGTGTGTGTGTGTGTGTGTAGTACGTGTGTCGTGTAGNTTCCATGTTATGCTACTTTGTACTTCTACCACACTACAGTTCAGAGGTAAATAGTGTATTTTCTTTTTAGTCCACTACATGTATTTAATACCTTTAGTTAGTAATAACTAAAGGTATTAAATACATGTAGTGGACTAAAAAGAAAATACACTATTTACCTCTGAACTGTAGTGTGGTAGAAGTACAAAGTAGCATAACATGGAAATACTCAAGCAAAGTACCTTATAATTATACTTAAGTAAAGTACTTGAGTAAATGTACTTAGTTACATTACACCACTGAGTAAGGTTAACCCAGTGCCTCGTTTCCAAATGAGGCAACGTTCAGACCAACATAAGTGCTAGAATAGGTTTCCTCATTCTTCAGAATGACACAGCCTGGCTTTAAAAGCAATGTTTTGGCGACAAACAACACAGTGTCGACCGGCAAACAAGTTGAACATGGCTCAACCTTAAGCATGTGCTACAATAAACACATCCCCACAATAGATTAGAATAAAATGAGGATTTTACCTCATACATAGGTGTTTTTATTTTCATGTTTCCTTACAGAATTATCTGTTAAAAGTGTTAGACTGAGCATAAAAACTTCAGGATGTAGGCCAATCCCAAACCCAAAGATGAGCAACTCATAACTTGCAGTATAAACATAGCCTGTTCCTAAATAGTTTCACTCAGTAACTTTTAGGCTGGTATTTCTGCGGTCTCTACAGGAATGATTGGTAAAAAAAGCACCTTCCTTTAATATATTGAAGGACTGCTGTAGGAGATTGATTGAAAGGACCACTGGTTGACAAAACAAAGCAGATAACCAAGCCACATGGTTGAAGTGACCTAGCCGCTAGGTAGCTAGCACATGGTTGTGGAGGAAGAGAGGATGATAGTTTTTTCAGCATTGTTTTAGTATCACCCAGCCACTAACCCAGCGGATGGGCTGCACTAAAACTACCCATGATTGTGTAAACAACGCAATAATGTAAAAGGCACCAACCAGCATGATCAAACCACTGTGGAGGTAGGTTATATGAAATATCCCAGCAATTCTTAGTGTGCATGATAACATTCTAATTTAATAGAGACAGCCTCTGAAATGAAACTGAGCACACAGAATGTAATCTCACCTGGGCAAAACAGAAGGGCCTGTACCTCGCTCACCACTGGGTGGCTGCTTACGTGCTCAAGATTCCAACTAAAAAGCAGTTCCTGGGTTTTGGAGGAACATGCACTGAGGGCACGGACATGCCTTGCTTCCAGAGACATATTCCACACATTCAGGTCAGTGATATTTCCAAAAAAAGGCTCTGTGAAATTCCCACCAAATGAATCTTGATCCTGACCCAGAATAAGTATTCCATCACCATAGATGTTCCTGGAGGTGTCTGAGCCTGAGCCCATGTCCTTGTTGTCACCATCTACATAGATAGCCCAGTGGCCGTTGCTAAGGTGCCATGTGACACAGATGTGATGCCAATCTCCGTCGTTGGGGAAGGATGCCTTATATGGCAGGTGCTTCCCGTGGATGATGAGAGCCAGAAGGATGCGTCCCTGCATGTCCACTTGGCCTCTCAGCTGGAACTCATTGGTGAACACAGGTGCAGCGTAGGAGAAGATGGTGGACACCTCAATCCACTCTGGGTTCCACTGAACACGAACACACACACTGATGGAGGACAGGGCGGGAAAGGACATGTTGACACGAGCAAAGCCCTCACGAGAATCTCTTGGGAAGTTTAGAGCTGGGAACTGTAAATCTAAAGAAAAGCCGGGAAAGGTAATTGATCAAATTGTAACTTTATTTTTTGTATTTTATTATACTTTATTTGATTTGTAGCGCCAATGATTACACTCACACTGTTTGGAGAGGGCCAGAGGCTTGGAGGCTGCCTTGGCAGGATCTCTGATCCAGACAGGTGAGCGATGTGCGGCCTGCTGAAGCAGCTCCAAGACCCCCCCTCTGTCCTCTGACTGCTCCACAGGCACAAGGGAGCTGAACTGGCCCCTGCAGAATCTGTCTGCCCCCGAGAAGTCCAGTGATTCATTGAACAGGTGAAAAGCCCAGTTAGAAGTTAGGTGGAGCAGTTTGGATTGTTCTGCAAGGTCACACAAAAAAAACAATCACGACAAGCATGAATTAGAAATAGTGATGTTTCAGTCAAATAAGTGTTGATGTTTTGATTAAGGAAAAAGAGATGTCAATACCACTAAATAAAACTGCTGCCCACTAAATAGCCCCGAAAAGTGATTAACAGTCTCACCGTGTAAATCCCCAGCTCTGTCTGGCCCAGCATGTGTCGGCTCACTCTCACATACCACCTACAGGAGAACATGATTAGTTTACTATAGTATTTTAACTTGGCTAAATACAGTTATCAATGCTGTATTAACATATTCCAGTAACATATTCAGTTGATGAACTGACTAGCTTTTTTTTTTAAAACAATGAAATGTTAATAACACATTAAAAATGTACTATTTGCAAGTCTCTGGTGTAAACAGTATAACATTGTAATTACCACAAAAGAGAAAAGCATGAGTCCAGTGTGCAGAGCTCCAGTCATCTCTAAGCCAGTGTAGTCTCCAACTAAAATAAACCGATGAACTTATTTAAAAAATATATTTCCACTCGATCCAGATGTACGAAAAAACAAGTTATTTTCCTGAAACATTGATGCACTCTCCCCATTTTCCTCTGAAGCAGCAGAGAGTCTCTTTGAGTAATCTGTGAACAGACTCCATGTTCAAACCCAATTCTGGTCCTGACTCCTCATCCACTGCCTTGGCTTCAATATCCAGCATATCCAGCACAGTTCTGGTCTCCTGACTGGGAGAGTGCCAGCGATCCCAGTGCGTCTGTCCAAGTCTCAGTCTGTCTCCTGCCTTCCTTCAGACCCCCAACCCCTCCCTCCCTCTTTAGTACCCTGAAGCCATGTGCCTTTGTCATGCAAATGCCGTAATTTTTTAAAAGAACCCTACTTACGCAAGTAGTGTCAAGCATTTGGCAGTTGAGAGTTCATCAAGGGCGGCAGGGCGGCAGGGCGGCAGATTTTTTTTACCACATTCTCCTTCTTTATGCCTTCTATAGGACTCTCTTAAGGTAATTAGAACATCTGTTTTGTTGGTGTACTTCACAGTCAACTAGAGAATGCAATTCCTGAAGAAATTGCTAGTGGGAATGCTTTATGCTGAAAAGCTGACGCTGAACTGCTATGCTGAAATGTAATGTGTAAGAAGAAAGTGAAGAATTTAGATTGAAATGATACATGAAAACAGGGGGCTTGAATGTGTGATAAGAGAAGAAAAGAAAGTAAAAAGGCTTGGAAAGCAGCAGAATATTTGAACTGCAAACTTTTGAACTAACTTGATGGCGAATGATCTGTCGCCATGGCAACGGCATTTGATGACACCCCATAATACGCTTAGATGCGTTGTCGGTTGCATTGTTACCAAACCTGTGAAGTTTTGGGCAATCTGGAGCAGTTTCACTGAAGTCATGAGAAAACCGTGTTTCATGGCGAGCCTTGTGTTACCATGGCAACGGCATTTGAAGAAATCTCAAAACTGTCCCGTAGATGTCTTTACGGCTGGACTGTTAGCACACATGTGAAGTTTGAGCACTTTTTGAACATTTTTCATAGGAGTTATAGCGACATTATGTTTTATGGTGAGGGATGCGTTTCCATGGAAACGGCATATAGTGAGATCTCAGATTTGGCGTAGTGCTG